GAGGGGGAAGAGTAGGGGGAGAGAGAGGAAAAGGGAGGGGAGGAGGGGGAGGGCAGGAGGGGGAGGGGAAGAGGAGGAGAAGCATGGGGTTGGGGAGGGGAGGGGGGAGGGGAGGGGAGCGAAGGGAAGGGAGGAGATTGGAAGAGAAGAGAGGCCGGGCATATCTAAAAATATGGAGAACCAGAATCAGGTACTGAGCCCATCTGACTCTTAATCCTGCTTCTTCCCATTTCTTTCCATACGGGCCAAGTATTGAATGGTATCAATAACCATTTGGCCAATTTGACTGTTAAAATCATGAAAAAAAAAGGCACTGAACCAACTGTGCTTGCCCTCAAACGTGCTAAAATGACTCTAGAATCCAATCAGATGGCCGAAACGCCTCCTAACCGGCCCAGGTGACCCACATGTGTGTGAGGTCCACTTTCAGCCTTGCAGTGGTTGTCTAGATATTTCATCAGTGAAAAAGCCAGACTCCAGAGCTGATTTCCAAGAAAAGTGAATCCAGCCTCCTCTCCCGTAACAGGCCGAAGTCTTGGGGATTAGTACAAGTAACTTTGTTGTTTGTTGTAGTTTTCCAGCAGTTTAATGAAAATGAATCATCGTGGAGTACATGGTCCAGACTTTCCGATGTCTACAGGCCAAATGGGCTCAGATCTCACTTGACATTTAAGTGCAAAGGGTTAGTGTTGGGGTGGAGGGAGAGTTCTCTTCCCCACCAGGGACACGCAGCGGGTAGAAGTTTTCTATTCCCTGAGCGTGTTCACCAAGGGTGCCCTTTTACAGATTAAGTTACAGAGCCCCGGGGTTTCCTTCAGCCTTGGGCTATTTGGCCTCAGGCCTAGAGCCTGGGGAGTATCGAAGTTTTGTTCCCTTGAATGATATGTTCAATCTGTCAGCTTAAATAAGTACAAGATGGCAAGAGAATCGGCCAGCAGGCTCTGAGGAAAGCAAAAAAAACCAACTAATCTCTTCAGGGTTGGTTGGCCCTGGGAGTCCTACCTGCTGGGTCCCCAGACTGAGATGGGGTAACTTTTAAAGCAGAAGCATTTAGATAAAAGGGCCATTAAAAACAAAGTGAGAGAGTGGCATGGACATATATACACTACCAAACGTAAAATAGATAGCTAGTGGGAAGCAGCCGCATAGCACAGGGAGATCAACTCGGTGCTTTGTGACCGCCTAGAGGGGTGGGATAGGGAGGGTGGGAGGGAGGGAGGCGCAAGAGGGAAGAGATATGGGAACATATGTCTATGTATAACTGATTCACTTTGTTATAAAGCAGAAACTAACACACCATTGTAAAGCAATTATACTCCAATAAAGATGTAAGAAAAACAAAAGCAAAAACAAATCCAGAGGCAGCTCATGACTTAGATACTGAGAAGCACACAAAAGCAGCTTCAGGGTGAGAAAGAGATGCATGAGAAGGGCTCTGACCTACCCACAGACACTCCTGCACTCCTGTCCCGAATACACCCCACTGGAGACTCTGATGGGATGGAAGAGAAGACAGGGGAGAGGCCTGTGGATGGGATGAGGGCCTTAACTCAGACGGCCCGGGTTCGGATCCCAGCTCTGCCACTTCCCTAAAACCTGTACCACTACATTCTTATCTGGAAAATAGGAGTAATTCCCACCTCCATGAACTGCGAGGACTAAATGGGACTTGGATATGAGAAGATGCTTGGTGCCTGGCTCACGGCAGCTGTGAAGCTTGGGGTGGGGATGTACTTAAAAGGATGGAGGAGGGGAAAGAAGGGGGAGGCAGGGAGGGGATAGGAGCTCTGTGGAGCAGAAAGCTGTAGAAATAAGCCTTGGATTCTGCTCCCCACAACATCCCCCAAGCCCCTTCAGCCCCACATAAGAGAATGTCATCTTCTTCCACCTTATTCTGCTCACAGCCAAGCTGGGAGGAAGTTTAAGGCTGTAACTAAAGGAACCTGGGTTTCAAAACCCAACTCACTTCTCCCTTCGGCTGGGGCAGATCTGCTGGCTATGAAGACGTCAGAGAAGGAATCAAATAATAACTAGACTAGAGACAAGGCTATCATTTCCCATTTTAATTTATAAGGACGAGGGTTGCCAAGAGCAAAAAGAAAGATCATGTTTTCTTCCTTTATCATGAGATGATAAAGGAGAAAGCATGGAACCAATTACATGTATCATGCAGCACCCTCAGCTCCACTATCCTTTACCATCTCCTAGTCCAAACCACACTTATAAACTAGGAAGGCCTAAAACCTCCACCTGCAAGGTCCCTAAGGGTTCTGGGATTGTCCGAGGCCACACCCCTAAGGAGAAGAATAAAGGAGGCCCTAGATTTTCCATGACATGGTCCTGTAGGCATGTTAGCCTGAGCCCACTAAGGATCCTATTCTGTTTGAGATGGGAGAATGCAGTGGCTAAGACAGGGACTTTCAACCTTGGCTGGATATTAGAATCACTGGAGGAGCTGTTAATACAAATCTCCACGCCCCACTGGCTGCACCCAGACCAATGAAATGAATCTCTGGGTGTGGGATCCAGGCATCAGTGTGTTTTAAAGCTCTCCAAGTGGTTCCAATGAGCAGCCAGTGTTTAGAATTGCTGGGCTAAGAGCCTGGACTTTGGAGCCAGACTTCCTGGATTCAAACCCACTTCAAATGTCACTTCCAAATGCATGGCTGGGATATAATCTAAGCTGGATAAATGTTAGTTGTGACTATGACAGTATTTTGGAATAATAATAGCCGTTTATAATGGCTAGAATCCAATATAACACAGAAGTTAAGCCTGCAGACTCTGGACTTTCACTGCTTGGCAAGGGAGGGGCCAGGGTGAGGAGAGTGAGGCTCCTGGGGGCAAAGTGTAAGGGGGCTCCCACTCTTCGAGTCCTGTAGCTGCAAACCGCCTGGGTCCAAATCTTGGCTCTGCACAAGACTAGCCATGTGGCCATGGGCCAGTGATTCACAGTGATTTATTCAACTGCAAAATGAGGCCGCGTCGCATATGCAATGAAGGTAAGAGTTATAGAAACCTCATCAGGTTGGTGTGAGGCTTACACTGAAATAACACATACAGAGAAGTTAGCAGAAAGCTTGAGGCACACGGTAAGTGATTAGCTGTTGATGTGATGAGGAGAAACACAGGGACGATGGTGTTGCTTAGATGCTTACTTTAAGTAACTGCAGTCCTTCAGATCCGTCTGGGGCTGTAGAAGGATTTTGAATTCCATGACAACTGTGGACCCTCTCCCCACAAAATTCCCAAATCTACATAATTGTGCACATGCCTGCTGAAGTCTGCAGAAAACACAGATGGGGGTAGGTGGACACACAGGTCCAGGACCCTTAGCAAATTCTCCGCCATGGCTCATTGAGGGTAGTTCCTGGGCCCTGAGAACCCTGACTCCTCTGAGCCCCAGGAGGCAGCAGACTTTCCAGAGGCCACCTGTAACCACACCAAGGCTCCTTGGTCATGCTGCACCGAGATGGCAGGAGTGGAAATGGTCCTCAGGAACCCCACTCTCTGGATGATCAGGACTCGTTCCAAGGTCCTTAGCTGAGGGAATATATAGGACCAAAGCAGAGTGGCCCTAAGGTTTTGGTGTTGGTGAATTTGTTGTTTTCCATCCTCTAGACCTGCACTGCCCAATATGGTAACCACGAGCTATTTACACATAAATGAATGAAAATTAATGAAGTTAAAAATTCAGGGCTTCCCTGGTGGCGCAGTGGTTGAGAGTCCGCCTGCCGATGCAGGGGACGCGGGTTTGTGCCCTGGTCCAGAAAGATCCCACATGCCGTGGAGCGGCTGGGCCCGTGAGCCATGGCCGCTGAGCCTGCACGTCCGGAGCCTGTGCTCCGCAACGGGAGAGGCCACAGCAGTGAGAGGCCCGCGTACCGCAAAAAAAAAAA